TATTGGGAAGAAATGGGTAATAAAAAAACTTTTCGGCTCAGATCTGGTAGAGGAGACTACATCCAAAATAGTTAAGATCAGGAAGAACATCCAGACGGCTCAGAGTAGGCAGAAAAGTTATGTGGACACCCGGATGAGGGATTTAGAATTTGAGAAAGGCGATCGAGTGTTCCCTAAGGTCACTCCTTTCAAGGGAATTAGTAGGTTCGGCAAAAGAGAAAAACTAAATCCCTGATTTATTGGACCATTTGAAATCTTAAACAGAATTGGTACTGCCGCCTACAGACTAGCACTACCTCAATAACTTTTCAAGATCCATAATGTGTTTCATGTGTCCATGTTACGCAAGTACAACCCGGACTCCTCTCACATCTTGGCCCACGAGCCTCTTCCACTCCAGGTGGACCTGTCATATGAGGAAGTACTGGTCGACATTGTGGATCGAAAGAGCAAACTACTCTGCAACTAGAAAATTCCTTCTGTTAAGGTCCTATGGTCGAATCACACACCGAGAGATGCCCCATGAGAGCTAGAATCAGACTTTAGAGCCTAATATTCCCAGCTGTTTGATTGAGAGTGAGAGAGACAAATTTGAGGAACAAAATTTCTTTTAAGGGGGGAGAGTTGTAACACCCAAAATTAGTTTTTTTTTATAATTTAGGATTTTATTATAAATATAATAAAATAATTTTTCAATTTTCTTTATTTATTTAGAGTAAAAATTGAAATAAAATTTATGAAAGATTAAATTGAAAATAATTTTGGGGAAAATGAGTGAAAATTTGGGTTCTGGGGGTATTTTTGAAAGAAAAATCAGAAACCAAAGGTCAAAATACAATTTAAAAAAGTTTCGACATGTCAGACGCCCGGTTAGCAAGCCCCATGAATTAGGACGCACCGCGTGGCAGCGGACGGTGACGTGGTGCCATGTGGGAAGCCACGCAGGCGATCCGCGTGCCTGCGATCGAACGGTCCAAATCTGTTCCCGCATGCATGGACAACCCAGATGCATACCCCCCAAATGCTATCGGAAGGTCAGATTTGAACGTGATTGGATGGTTAGATTTGAACGCGATTGAACGACTCAGATTAGATTGCGATGGATAGCCCATATTAGATCGCGATGAACGGCTCAGATTCACTCCCTATTTAATCGCGATCCGATGGTGCAGGTCAAATGCGATGGACGACCCAGATCAAAAGCGGACCGATATAAATAACTCTCATTCGTGCCAAATCCTAACCCTAGTCGCCAGACCCCCTCGCTGGAGAAAAAGACCCAATTGCCGGGAAGGAGACCGCCGCCACCCGCCACTGCACTGGAGCTCTTTTCGACTGCCAAAAAAATGTAAAAATTTTCTCTTTTGCTCGAAATTCAATTCTAAATATACCAATGGCCAAATCGGAATAAAATGATTGGCCAATTGGCCGAAAAACGTAGGCGAAGCTCGATAGCACCGCCACAGAGAATTTCACAAATGCCTCTAATGAGGCCCTTCCTGATTCCTGTTCTGTGTAATTGTTTCACTGTTGTGATCACCGTGTCATTCTCTACCGATTTACCGGAGCAAAACACCCAACCGCAACGGGAGTCGGAGGAGCCGCCGCACCGGAGAGCCCAGCCGCCGGTGAGTTTCATTTTTTTTTGTTTTTTCGGCCAATCGATGCCCTTTAACATGTTTTCTTGCAGGGATCGATGCAGAATCGGCCGAAAATAGCCGACTCAAGGTGGACCGCCACCGCTCGCTGGTGCACGGGCCGTCGTGCCAGAATTTTGAAATTGGCCAAGTGCGCTCTGGGATTGATTTTGGATTTTTTTGGGGCATTTGTAGATACTATTAGCGCATTTTAATCCTTGAAGAAAAATTCAGGGAA